GTAGAATAGTTATATATCTTGATGCAATGTAATTTTCACCTTTAAACTGTCAAATTATAACACAATTCGAAGGTCAAAAAATGAATGATTGTGTTACTTGTTGACAAGCTGCTATCATAATTAAAAATCATTTCTTTTTTTTGTCTTAATGACATTTGACATAAGAGTGTCATTCATCGATAATGTTAATTATTTTCCAGGTAAGATTCTTTCTTTTCAAAGATAAAATGAATATATGATAATGATTCTATTTAAATTATCAAATCTATTTAGATACCAAATTAATCATAAAAACATTTTTCAAAGTAATTTCAATGATTCATTTATAATAATTAAAATATTAATGTGACTTAATGAGTTCTAGAGATTAATTTTGTTATATTTTTGAAGAGTATGTTTTTTTTCCGTTCTTTTTATTTATAATAATAGTTCAACGAGAAGATTTATTATTATGCAAATATTTATTTAGAAAAAAAAAACCTACTCTGAATTTCTGACTAAACTCTCTTTACATTCATATTCATCCAATAATAGATATTATTCATTTTTATTCTTTATAAAATTTTTTCTCATTGACATAATAGTGTTATTGAATATGTATAGTTTACTTTTTAATAATAGTCAATTCAAAAAAGGATATTAGAAGAATATAAGCTCTCTGCTAACAACAATATTTTCTAAAAATAAGCAAACTATGTTAAATTTTTCACTATTAATTTATTATTGGATGTACATGATGATGTTGGCATATTTTTAATGAAAATATCTTCTAGATACATCTACTAAGTAGCTATTTCTTTTAAATAATAAATCTATACTGCCGAGTCTACTAAACATTTTCTCTTAATATTCAATCGAGTCTTATATACTATTTTTCTTTCAAGATTTCTATCAAAATATTACCGCTTCGTTCGAACTCATTTATCGTACCTAGTCTCAGTTAGACTTCGAACAATTAGTATTATTTCCTACTCTTTTTATCAACCAACATAGATCGTCAAATATCTCTTAGTTTCGTTTATGAAATGATTGCAGTGTTCAATCTGGTGAGCATTTTCTTGGTAATGAAAATTGATTTAGACCTATGCTCTCGTGAAACTTTATATTTGTCATATACTTGAGATGATGAAGAAAAACAAAAATCAATTCGAAGAATCTTCCTCTAACTGACACTCGTTTGACTGTTTTATATAGTTGTATTGTTTTAGTGTATGATAAAATCGAATATCAAAGTATCAGAAAGAAGGAATGTTTTTCTTTTCGAATAGATTCATGCACATACATAACAAAACTGTCTCATATGTTCGTATAAACATATATTGTAAAAAGACCTTGGCGATACATTTGGTGTCTCTCTTTATCGGATACATAGCCGTCCTACAAACCGGTAAAAAGAACTAAAAATGGGTTTCCTTTGCTAATGAATTCCTCTTTCTATTCTAATATAGTAATAATAATTCATTGCATTAACAAAAGAAATAGTGACGCAACAAAAAAATTTGTAGGTGGAAAAAGTCTCATTCTCTTGGTTATGTGTGTAAAGTGGGCGGAAATTCTTTGGTCAAGTCCCTTTTTAAGTGCAATTCAATTGTTGATAGAGTGAAAAGACTAAATTCCCAAGTTCTCACCTGGTGACACCACTATGTAATTTTATAATTTTTGAATTAAAAATTAATATCACTATTACTTTTCAAAATCATCTTTAACTTTTATGTTCTTTACTATGAATAAAATAAGTATTAAAAAATTTTTCAATAAATTATAAATTATAATATAATTAACTTCAAAATTGATTAATATATCAAAAGAATTTAATGTCGATCATATTACAATATCTAAAAATATTAATACAACATTCAAATCAATAACACCTGATATATCAATAACAAAATTATTGATATGACTAATTAAATAATAATCTTTGAAATATATTCAATTAACTGTTTTTTTTTCTATTTGCATATTACGTTAATCTGTAATTTGATATAATAAATTTGAACTTGATGAGAACAATAAACATACATATCCATGCCTATATGCAAACACAATCAGACTCGAAGTGTTTTTTTTCTTCTTTGATTTTAGTGACAAGTAAAAAAAAAAAAAGAGCAATGTTATTAACGAAAGAATAACAATTCGACATCGATGATAGAGTTAGTATTTATGAGGAATATATCGTATATTTGTGGTAGAGAATACACTTATTGCAAAATTTAATACAATGTTAAATAATAATCTCATTTCGTCAAAATGATTCCATTACCTCAGAATACTTATAAACAAGGTTGTAAATGTGCATGTAGGTTTTCTTTTCATCTACTCAGATTCATGTCTACATTTCTTTTTTTTTTTGTTCCTATATTTTATTCTATTTTGTATCATTTCTGTAAAAGTATGATTACTAACATAATAACAACAAAAGATTTTATTGTACGTCATCGACAAAATGCTATTCAATCGTCTATGTTCGTGAGTTTTGTTTCAATGATTATTTCTTATATTCACTCATTCTATACATATATTGCAGAAATACAAATTACCGAATTACGGTGAAGGATATACCGACCCAATAAAAGTTACAGAAGCGGGTTCAACCCTTTGACTATATTTATAGAGAAGGTGGAGATCCTTTGGTAATACTTCTAGATTGAGCTTCAGTTCCTCTTTAATCAGAATTCAATCGTTTGTAAGGGAAAAAGACGGGAAGCTAAGCCCGCGTCTGGCTGTGCAATATGTAAGCAGTTGAAGGACAAGAATTCCAGCCGTCTTTTTGTCTGATATTATGTAAGGCATAATTATTTTAAATTTCAACTTCTTTGCAAAAAAAAAAGAAAAATTATAAAAACGGCGTCTCATTTCAAGGAAATTTTGAAAAAAAAGTTAGAAAATTTTCTATAATTTGACAGAATAGATACGTAATTTTGTTTGTTCAACATTGAGATATAAGAAAATAATAATTTGAATCGGACAGCCATCTAAAGCACGTGTCTATATCAAAAATTTTTTTACAAAGATAATGGGAGTAATTATCATCGTCGTTGAATTATTGAGGTTACACCTACCACTCTTTAATTCTGACGTAGATCTTAGTCATGATTTGTTTTTTTCAATCGATGCTTAACCATTTACACAGTTGGTAGTAGTTTCTCATAGTATTATAAATCGAAATCAAATTTTTAGTATCTAATTCAGTCTTAAAAATTTCAATTAATAATAGATTATATATCGATCTATGAATCTATGCGAGTAAATATAATTTTTTTTTTTTATTTTATATTGAAATTTTCAGATTGTATTTTTAATATACTGATCTTCATTTCAATTTTATTTCTCTTATATAAGAAAAAGAGAATCACACGAAAAAGAAAAAAGAGTAACAATAAAAACAATAGGTGCAAAAACAAAAAAAAAAAAAGATCGTCTCTTTTGTCGGATGTATTCATTCTTTTGAAAGTGCGCAAACTCTTCACTTGAAAACTACTTGAAATTTGTTAAAAGAAAACAGTTGTATTTCGTTATCGGCATCGTTAAATTTCATCTTGTTTTGTTATTTTATTACTATTTCATCTGTTTTTTTCTTTTTCGACTTCTTTTTTTTTTTTTCTCGCAACTTTACTATTTCATTTTGGTTGCTTTTTTTTTTTTTGTACTCTTTATTTTTATTGACACACCAACACCACTACCCAAAATTTGTCTCGTCTAACGATGTAATATTATTGTTTTTATTCATCATTACTTTCATCTAATGAATAGGAAAATTTAGTCCACTTATTCGATAGACCAATTATCACGTACAATTGCTTGTCTATGTCTATGTCTATTGATCAAATAAAGGTGACAGAGAGAGAGAGAGAAAAAAATGTTGACCATATCTCAATGGTCAATCAAGCATGTGTCTTCCAATTGTCGTTTGAAAATATTTTTACATAATGATCGTATGTTAATATATATATCGTTTTTTCGATGAATATTATTAATATAAATTAGTTGTTATAATTGATAGGAAAGTATAATGTATATCAGAATGCAATCAACTGAGACGACATTTGTTTTTCTTTCCTCACTGTTGAATCGAATAGTAATCTGAAAATTGAATATGTAATGTGTTTTTCTTTCTACGACGTTAATATAGAAAAAAGTATAAGCAAAAACAACAGAAGTTCTTGAAAGAAGAAAAAAAAAAAAAGAACGAAAATGTCACTTGTTCGTATTACAAAAATAACATTTACATCGGAACTCTATTAGAGACCATAG